TTGTAACATAGAAGGAAATTGCTCCATCATAAGCGATATCACTTCCCTGAATATGCTGTTCATTAGAAAGTTGTTTAATCTGTTTGATGACGTTATCAATTTTTGATACGACTGTGTAAGAAATAAATAAATTACTCCAAGTTATAATTTTAGTTCTTTGCGTTTTGCTCAGTGCCAATAAATGCTCTCTTACCAATAAAATGTTTCTATCACTTTGAACATCGCAGAATTGACACACGAATCCTTTTTTGGCGCTCTGCGTCCGCTATGCAACTGTCAAAAAACAACGCTACTACAAAAATGTCTCTAAAAGCATGTATAGTTCGTAGTTACCTTTGAAGTTTGATACTCGTTAACTTTGTCGCGTGTGTTATAAAACGCATACGTATACTTTCAAATGTCATTGTATTTCAAATGTATGTTGTGCCGGTTGGATAGTTTTATATTCAGTTTACAAAACTGCGATTTTAACAGAGTGTGTCGTACAATTAAAATAAAAATTAACCTTTGCATTATTTATTTCATTGTCATTTGATTACAAAGAACGTCGTTAATAACTGATGTTTCGGAAATCTATAGACGGGACACCGGTGCATGACATCCCCGCTTGTATTTTGCTGATGTTTAGTTAATGGTGATCAGAGCTGAATTTAGTGTATGAACGGAGAAAACAAATATCATTACTTGAATAGGCAAATACGGGAAAATCTATTCACTGACAGCATCTTAGTTTCACCTGTCGAGACTAAGTTTACTTATTCAAATCGTCATTACTTGTGAGAGTTAATGTAGTTTGGCGTTAGTGCGTCAGACCGACAATAACGCTCCTTGGATGCATTATTTCCTTCAGTGAATTTACATTATTTGATTTTATTAAATTTATTTTACTATACCAAAATAACACCATTAAAAAACACACCAGCTCTGAAAATCAGGCAATGCCCCAAATAAACGTTCAAAACGTAAGATCCTAGTGTGACCCGAATTGACCCGTGTGTCTTCTACTTTTTACTTTGCGAACGTAAGCTCAGAAAGCATCGTAATAGGACAAGAAGTGCGAAAAAATAGGCATCCCGGTTCCATATGTCTGTCTGTCTGTCCGTCCGTCTTCTGTGTCGATTTTTGTTAGACAGATAATCTCCGAAACTACCCAACCGATTATGGTCAAACTTTATATGTGTTATGAGTATCGTTAACCTAACTCTGTCTAATAATCCCCACCTGCAATGTGACGACGTCACCTCAACATTGAAAATATTCAAATTTTTGGAAAAAAATCAAAATTTTTAATTTGGAAACTGCAAAACCGATTGCTCCTAAATCTTGAATGTAGAGCTATTTTGGCGAAACTGTGAAAATTGCTGTATTTCAATTAGCGATTTTGGCAAAACGATAAAAAGGAAGCCGAAAATAACTTCTGGATATCGAAATCTACAAGAAAATGTCTTCAAGTAATTTTCGGATATACTTGTAGTTGAAAAGTGGTCGAAAACAACAAAAGTGCCAAAATCAGTCTTATCTTATCAAATACTAGCCCCGCCCGCCCACCCTCCATTTTTTAGGGGATATGTCATTTGCCAAAATCACTTTTATCTTAGCAAGTACTAGCCCCACCCACCCACCCTCTGTTTTCTTGGAAGGTATGTCATTTGCCAAAATCAGCCTTATCTTAGCAAGTGAAAACCCCCCTCTTCTCATTCTAACGACTAATTTTATTTCTGTTCAGTATAAGATCATTCATTTCAATCAGATTGGATAAAATCACTCACTGAAAAAGAGACAGGGTGGGTGGGCGGGGCTAAGTGTGGTCCTCTGTTGAGTGGGAGTGGAAACTAATAAGTACATAACAGAATCTAGGATGTGAAAAAAGTAAAAAAAATGCTAATCGTAACTTTATTGGTTATACTTTTTACTAGAAAATTTATTGCTTATTTCTGCATCTGACCTGACTTGACTTAACGTATTCAAACCTGTCGTAACTTCTCTATTGTAACAAATATTTTTTTTATATTTCTGTAATTTCATAAAAACTACAAAGTACATTCTTGAAACAATTGTATTGTTACGAAATAAATCCACATACCTGCCCGCTACGACGCCCACGGGCTCTAATATATATGGCGACGTTGACTCATTGTCGATGACGGCGGCCGGAGAAGAGCCTGGAAGCGGTGACAGAGACCTTCGAGAAGGACCGCACGCCAGTCGAGTCCAACGAGTGTCGAGAGAACCCAGTGAAGTTACGCCGGAATTATTTTGTACTTACTCGCTCTGTAATGTCGTGTAAATTCGAGTTATTAAGAAATAAACTGTTAAATTTTACCCACGCCGATTTTATTCTCCCGCTAAACGTAACAGTATTTTGTGAAACAAAAATTAATAGTAATTTTCTTTTTTATCTAGAAAATTTTTTAGAGCGAGCTATTTTGACGAAACTGTAAAAATTGCTGTATTTCAGTTAGGGATTTTGGAAACGCGGTAGGAATTTTCGAACAAACCAGGCCGAAAATGCCGTCACCTAGTCTTCAAAAATAGTGGAAAAATTGTCGAAAATGTCAAAAATCAGTTTTATCTTATGAAATACTAGCCCCGCCCACCCACCCTCTGCTTTCTTGGAAGCCATGTCATTTGCCAAAATCAGTCTTATCTTAGCAAGTACTAGCCCCGCCCACCCACCCTCTCTCCTTTTAGTGATTGATTTTATCCGATCTGAATGAACTGAATGATCTTATACTGAACAGAAATAAAATTAGTCGTTAGAATGAGAAGAGGGGGTGGGCGGAGCTAGTACTTACTAAGATAAGACTGATTTTGGCAGATGACTTTCTTTCCAAGAAAATAGAGGGCGGGTGGGCGGGGTTAGTATTTGCAAGATAAGACTGATTTTGGCAAATGACATACCTTGTAAGAACATACAGGGTGGGTGGGCGGGGCTAGTATTTCATCAGATAGGACTGATTTTGGCAATTTTCACACTGTCTTGTAGATTTCGATATCCAGAAGTCTTATCTTAGCAAGTACTAGCCCCGCCCACCCACCCTATCTCTTTTTAGTGATTGATTTTATCCGATCTGAATGAAATGAATGATCTTATACTGAACAGAAATAAAATTAGTCGTTAGAATGAGAAGAGGGGGGTGGGCGGAGCTAGTACTTACTAAGATAAGACTGATTTTGGCACATGACTTTCTTTCCAAGGAAATAGAGGGCGGGTGGGCGGGGTTAGTATTTGCTAAGATAAGACTGATTTTGGCAGATGACATACCTTGTAAGAAAATACAGGGTGGGTGGGCGGGGCTAGTATTTCATCAGATAGGACTGATTTTGGCAATTTTCACACTTTCTTGTAGATTTCGATATCCAGAACTCATTTTCGGTTTCGTTTCTTCGAAAATTCCTACCGTTTTTCCAAAATCGCTAATTAGAATATAGCAGTTTTACAGTTTCGTCAAAATAGTTTTGTACGTAAATAAAAAATTGAAATTATTATTAATTTTTGTTTCATAAAATGCATTTATTTTAAGAATGTACTTTTGGTTTTTAGGTAGGACAGGTCAGGTGACGTTACGTCGAAATCCATGTCCCTGAATTTTTCGAAAATTCTTCGATTACTCAAACTGTTTTTCTAGAATCGCCCAATAAAAAATCAAATTTTTCATAAATATCAGAAATTTCGAATTTCGTTACGAATATTTTCAAGATAGTGCCGCGTGCCCATAAACAGGCTATATTTTTAGAATCAGCACGTCAGGACCTGTATCCCTGAATTGTTTAAGAATTTTTAAACAACTTTTTCAAAAATGAAATTTGTCTGTGTGTTATTTCAGTCTTATCTTAGCTAGTCGTAAAAAAATTGATGACGTCATCCCAAAATTTTGCCGAATAAATTCTACCTAAAATGTGTGAAATACGAGGAATCTATAATTGTGCTTTATGCAATACATTCATGTTTTTTAGAACTGCTTATACAGGGCGACTCAAAAATATTGTTGAATGAGTCAACTTATTTTTAACAGCACTTTTTTCGTATATATTGTAATATTTTGCACTTGGTGTCTATAGGAAGTTTTTTTTACTACGCTATAAACTGTATAATTATAATCGTCAATGTTAATACAAGATGCATCACATAACGAACCCTGAATGGAATAAATCCGTAAATGTTTGTTTTTGGCAAACGCAGATTGAACGCGGTCATTATTGAAAATCGTCGCTGTCCAAACATGATGTAATGTACATGAAAACCCTGATCCTGTGTAATCTGCATGTTGACAATATAATTGTTCACAATCGCATTGACACCAGAGCTCTGACGTGACTGACAACGTCCTCTAGATTCCATAGGAAAAAATGTAGATTGTAAGCTTAATGAAATGTTTAATTGTAAGTAACGATTTTAATCGCAGGACGTTAATGCAAAAAAGAAAGAAAGGGAAAAATTGAGGCGAGAGCTTAAAGGGAGAGTCGTGAATGGGCTAGAGCGTTCCAGTTTGATCGTAGGTAATAAACGGAAAACAGCATCAGGGCGAGGACTATGCAGATATCGTAATATAATTACGAACGCGTGAAATTGTAACATAGGTGTAAGCAACGCCATTTAATACTGGGTAGTATGTGGCGTTGCAGAGTACAAACCGCACACAGTATAAATGTGACCGAAATGGAATTTAATTATTGTGTAATGCATTTATGCAGGGTGCATAGAGGCATAGAGCATCGGTGACGCCTGCGGCCCGGGCTATGAGCGCTGATCCGGACTGCTCTTGAGGACGATCATATTCAATCTAAGCTCGTTAATTAAGTATACCGAGAGCGTAAATGGGCCAAAACCCGTTGCGATGCCGAACACGTAGTGAAATTGTGATTCTGAGGTGGTTAGTTAATTATTCAGGCCGGCGAAACAAAAGCGCTGAACAGCCTACACGAACCAGAAAATTAAAACAAATAATTTACGCGGATAATATGGATAATTCCGGCGTCTATTGCTGCTGATAACTGACCTTCGAACTGAAACATCAAAAGCATGTGCACTAGGAGTGTCGCAGTCGTCGGAAGGGTTTGCAGGATATGCATGGTTGCACGATCTCAATCCACCCCGGCTATTTGGCCGCTGACTCCCATGGCCCTGCAACAGACAGTAACTTCGGTCAGGTCTGCACTTCTCCAATGAAGCTGCTCTCTTATCAACAACCTCAAACGGAATACACAATTCAGACCACTCTTTACGTGTTTTATAGGCATGTATTAGCATGCGAACTCTTCGCTATCACAAAAAGACTTCTCTTCAAAATACATATGTAATAAATCAAATGCTTGCGGAATCGACCGTTCAACAATGCTTTTGGGTCTTGATAGATCTTTAACTCTCTCAAGGAACCGCACAGGCCTCGACTCCGACAAAAATCCAAACATATCAACTTTAAAATTTCCTACACTTAAAACCTAACCGTCGCAAAAAACCCACAAAACATCTATCTGCATGCCTATTTATAAAAAAATATTAACTTAAGTGACCAAACTTATCACAAATAAAACACAAAATAAACTATCACAACAACAACATTACAACACCAACGTCGCAAATAATTTGTTGTCTTTGTTTCATGCGTTCATTCTCTCTCTCTCTCGCCATCTCCGTCAGATTTTTTATATTGCCTCCTCGCAAAATGTACTCCCGTTATTTTCATTTGTTAAAAATTAAAAATATTAACACTGATTTGTGATTTTAATTACAGGAGAATAAGATTTTTTCGAAAAAAATAACTTTTACTGTATCTCATTTCCGCCAAAAAACGTGGACAATGCTTCTTGGATAATAACTAGGATTATGTAAACTGAAAATATTTTTCATAAATAATAAATGATATTGATTTTTAAAAATACTTACAAAATTTGACGAAAATTTAAAAAAATTATGCTAGTAAATTGCTTTTTTACTTCCTGAACGTAAACTAAGGAAGTATTGTAATTGAGTCCATTGGATGACCGGCTACTTTTCTCGACGTTTCATGATCCTTAGAGCACGAAAACATGGGTCTCCCATTTTCGTCTGTCTGGCTGTCTCTCTGTCTGTCTGTCTGTCCGTCTGTCTTTAAAACTACTTAACTGATTGCTGTCAAATTTTGTACGTGTATTAAGAATATGGTGTAGATGGTAAACGCTAACCAAAAGGTGGATAATGATCCCTACTAACAATAGAATGACGTCATCACCAAAATTTACATTAGTAAATATTATTTAAATTCTACATTTTTTCCTATTGGTTATCTACTTTAAATATATTTCATATTGTCCACACTTGTGCGAACCGCGGGATGTTTTTACGCCACTAGTTTTTACTTTGTAGAGGATTTCACAAAAATCGCAAACTCAAATTTTATAGCGAGATGTGTCGAACTACACTTCAAGGTGGAACGAAATTCTGTCCAAATAATTTTCGCAAACAATTTTTTAAGAATGTAAAACCTTCTCGCTGGTCCCAACAATTCTTTTTTTAAAGGGAAACCTAGACCCAAACCGACAATAAATATATCTTCTTCTAAAGTCCACATTTTTCCATAACCTTTATTATTTAAAGAAATAAACGTTAAAATTGTATTCAAAATTTGACAACTAATTGAAAAATTAATAAATTAATTTAGAAGAAAGTCAAATAGTCCACTAGATGTACATCATTTATTAATACTGTTACGATGATTAGTAATTAAAATCGACGTGCGTAAAACTCAACAATTTATTTCTTAGTAATTCGAATTCTCACGACTAATTACACAGCGATTATTATGGATAAAATAATTCCGGCGCAACTTGTCTGGACTCTGTCTAGACTGAACTGGCTGAATGATAATCGTTCCTCTCGATGCATCGAGAACGCCGCTTCGAGGTTTTTCTGGATCCCGCAATCCAAACTTCCGGTAACCCGCTGAAGTATTTGTCAAGATAAGACTTGATATGGCAAATGACGTATCTTCTAACAAACTAAAGGGTGGGGGAGAGTCAAGTACTAGCTAAAATAAGATTGAACAATATTAAGACTACTCACTCGAATGAAGAAGGGGTGGGTGGGCGGGGCTAATACTTACTAAAATAAGACTTGATATGGCAAATGACAGTGATCCCTGAGATTCTTTCTTAACACTACTTCAAAAACCAGACACACGAGAGGTCCCCGAGATTCTTTAAGACTATTTTAAAAACAAAATAAAAGAGGTCCCAGAGATTCTTTCACATTACTTCAAAGAAAAAGTGGTCAAAAGAACTTCCCTCGCACCAAAGTACAATAAAAAATATGCAGCATTTTGGAAAAAAAAACATTTGGGTCTCCCGAGAAGAAAAGAAGAACTTTACCCCGCCCACCCACCCCGTCCCTATTTCAGTGATACTTTTTTTATGTGGTCAGAATGAAGGGTGGATCTTACACTGCTAAGGTAAGACTGATTTTGGCAAATCACATACCTTCCAAGAAAAGAAAGGGTGGGCGGGCGGGGCTAGTACTTGTCAAGATAAGACTTGATGTGGCGAATGGCATACCCTCTAACAAACTAAAGGGTGGAGGGGGGAGTCAGGTACTTGCTAATATGAGATTGAACAATATTAAGATTAGTCACTCGAATGAAGAAAGGGTGGGTGGGCGGGGTAGTGCTTCCTAAGATAAGGCTTGATATAGCAAATGACAGTGGTCCCCGACATTTTTTAAGACTACTTTAGAAACAATACAAAAGAGGTCCCAGAGATTTTTTCAAATTAGTTAAAAAAAAATTGGTCGAAAATTGTTTCAAAAAAAAGAAAAAACTACATTTGAGTTCCCCGAGAAGAGAAGCACCTTAACCCGCCCACCCACCCGATCCCCATTTCAGTGATACTTTTTATGTGGTCAGAATGAAGGGTGGACCTTACACTGCTAAGTTAAGACTGATTTTGGCAAATCACATACCTTCCAAGAAAATAAAGGGTGGGTGGGCGGGGCTAGTACTTGTCAAGATAAGACTTGATATGGCAAATAACTTTTTAACAAAATAAATGATGGGTGAGAGGGACTAGTAGGTACTTGCTAAGATAAAATTGAACAATATTAAGACTAGTCACTCGAATGAAGAAGGTGTGGGTGGGCGGGGCTTGTACTTACTAAGATAAGACTTGATATGGCAAATGACACACCCTCTAAGAACATAAAAGATGGGAGGAGGGGCTGGTAGGTACTTGCTACGATAGGATTGAAAAATATTAAGATTAGTCACTGGAATGAAGAAGGTGGGGTGGGCGGGGCTATTGCTTTGTCGTAAGACTAGAAATATTGGTCGAAAGTTTTTACATAGAACTTCCCTCGCACTTAAATTCTGAAGACTTTGTGGAACGCCGTCCGGCGATCGTCACCGATGATGACTCACCCATCATTATCGCGAGTACTAGAAAACTCACGACGATCCATAGGCGTAACAACGTAGGTACAGATTCTTCATTGACCGTATTTCTTCGCACAAATTCTTAATAACCCAATATTGAAGGAATTAAAGTGGAGCTCTGTGTGACATCATTAGTGGCGTGTAACAGTCATCACAACTAATAAATTGTTTTTATCAGCAAATATTACTATAGCAATATATGTAGAAACACACACATAAAATGCGCTTAACGGATTAGTAAATATCAAAGTGACGCATAATTGTTGGTTTATTTCCTGCTGCGTCGTAATTGTAAATACTATTGAACAAAAAATATTCAGCAGTTATGGCTTTTGATAAATCCATAACCATAAACTTTATTCTACAATTTATCACCAGCAAAAGTTTAAAAAATACTCCCTTTGTTCTCGTAGTTTTCTACCGCGCTGTAAGAAAAACGCTTTCTAAAATTCCACAGCTTAACTTACACGAGGTAACACTGTCATAAGCACATTAATAACAATTCTAAAGCGACATTTATCAGAGTACAGCAAACAAAACTTCAGCACACTTTGATCTCAAATTATTAGTTTGATCATACGGCATAATACGAACCCTAATTTGCTTACTCAAACACAGTGCGTGAGACTGAGTTGACAGTTTGGGATTTCAGAAAATACGCATATCCTTTTAATAAAGTATTCCACATGGAATGTAGCTCCCATTTTGATTCACTCAAGATCACTGTGGACATTTACTGTTGTCTGCGGACAGTGAAGCGACATTTAATAGCCACTGGGCTAAAAAATAGACGAAAATCGGTAGAGTAATACAATACTTTACCTCGTTATTTGCAAGATTATGCAGCAACGATAATTGGTGAAAGGGAAAACCGACACCTTCTTGGAAATTTAGTTATAAGTGTGATGAAGATAATACGTAACGTAAGGGCAAAGATAGAAGTTGTACAATATTGATTCTGCGGTAAAACTGTATTAACGTCGTCTTGAAAGAAGAGAACTAACTTAACAAGCAATAGTAGTTTAATAGCGCTTTTTATTTATAAAAAAAATATCAATTAATAATTTTCTGAATTGTGTTGCTATTTTCGTGGTTGCCCTATTTAAATAACGTCAAAAGATAAAACATAAATAAACCTAGAATGATTTATTAGCGCCACACAATACGATAAGTAGCAACGTATTCAAAATTATAAACTATTATTAAAGTGCAATTTATCAAATAATACATTCCCGGAAATAACAGGTTCTTGTATCGCTGCACTTCATAAAAAATTAAAAGTGTAAACGTGTATTAATTATATTAAAATACGAATTTAAAATCGTTATTTTGGAAATTCTTGGTGATATTTCTAAAATGTTATTGCATACAGTTTCAATAATAACTGTCTTTACAAACTGACTTAAAACCATATACATGATTGCACACCAACGTGAGCTGCTTATTCACATCAATAATCTGACTGGAGGAATGAAATACGATCTCAAGGTTACACTCATAACATCTAATATATATTAAAATATAAAATAGCCACAACAACTTTGGCGGAATTTAGTTTGTCGCTATCGTTCCTTGAATGATTAAGGATTTCCGACTAATTATATTTTTCATCGTATTTTTAACACATTCGATCGCATTATTTCACTTGCCTCTGAATAAGGCCGACCAAATGCAGCTTCTTCGGTGTTTACCACTTACAAAGCTGATGATGATTTTCCCCCAG